AGCAGCTACGTATTCATCATAAAGTTGGTATAAAGCCCCTCGAACATGCTCAATGTTTCTTTTAACTTAAACTTCATAATATATTTATGGGAAACACATTTCAACCAGCCTCAATTTTCACATCGGATCCAATACGGAAGCCATTGCCATTAATAGATTACATTCACCCCAATACTTATCTTTCATCTTCCTAACCATCATTTGAATGAAATCATTTTCATCTGTTGATTTTAAGTTCAAAAATTCTTTTACCCTATAGATCTCACTAAAGTACAAATTAGAAATGGATAGTCACTATTATAAATAATGTTGGTAACTACACTCAACACTTCAAGTACCTCACATACTTTCTCCACTTTTTCCCATTCTTCAAGAGTTGGCAAGTAGTCGTAATTGGGCTCCTTTTCTTAAAATCTTATAAATATATATTTGAATTTCAAAGCACATGACAACATCTCAAAAGTTTAATTCAATGGGTAAGACAATCAATAATCAATTTCTTTGTACCTAGTTGTAACTATTGTACAATTTCAGAAAAAAAGTTTGTTTCCCATCTCAAACTTATTAATGTATTTGACACTCTCACACACATTTTCGATGATGTGACCAATTTCACTAAGACCATATTGAACCAACAAATTCATAATATGTGCACAACATCGCATATGAAACAATTTTCCATCACAAAGCAATTTTCTATTATGAGAAAATATCTCTCTCAAAAACCTCAAACATGAATCATTATATGATGCATTATCCATAGAAATTTTAAATTCCTTATTCTTGAGGCCCCACTTCTTTAAATACTTGTAAATTGCATTTGTAATATCGACACCTCGACGAGGTGGAGGAACATGAACAAAGCTGATAACATGCTTCTGTAACCTCAAATTGGCATCTATGAAGTGATTATTTATCACCATATACTCAATCCTTTGGTTTTGTGACTTCAAAGGTTTGTGGTTATGCTAATTTTTGAAATATCCTTTGAAAGATTTTTTCAACTTCTTCTTTTGATCCTCATACATAGCTACATAGTCGTTCTTTAGTGTCTTCCAATAAATATTCTCAAAAGATGGATTACACATTTTCATCATAAAAATAAACCTTCATCTTCCACTATAGTAAATGGATGCTCATGCATAAGAACCCAATGAACAATTGTTTCTCTCATTTTGGAATGGTCATACTCTGTGGCAACAATAGGATCTAAGAGAGGAGGACCCGCAATTTTTACATCAACATTGAAATTTATGGATTGAAAATTTAAAGTCATCTGCTACTTACGTTGTTTCTCAGATTTTGGAGCCACTTTTCTTGGTATGCATGATTTCAAATTCTGGCCCATATGATTTGTAGCTCCAGTAGATTGTATAGATAATTACTCTTGCAATGGACACATTGCGCCTTCTTTGTTCCATCAACAATTTTTACCTTTGCGAACTCCAACCATACATATGAAGTTTTCTATCTTTTTGACTTCGATATTGGACCATCTTCATTAACTTCAATAGGACTCTGAAATCCAGTTTGAGTACCATTTGTGTTAGAAGGAGCACCTGCAATGGGATTGTTTGTAATTAAAACAATCATCGTTATATTTAAGTGCAAACTTGAGCTACTTCTCCATTTCATTAGTTGTATGTGTGTGTGTGTGCACATGCATGGGCTACGTGTATGTCATACAAAACTTTAGAATTGAAGGTAAGCACATTGAAGACACAAGCAAATGCAGTCATGATCATTAAATATGGCATTCACCATAGACCCAATATTTACCTCTCACCCCTCAAAGTGAAAACCCTTTATCTTCTCTTAAGCTAATGAAGAGTTAGATCAAGGGTTTAAGTGCATAAAAAATTCTGATCCTGTAGCTGCGACACAATAAAATGTTTTTATTCTTAATTGTACCACAAATGACCAAACTTGTCCAAGCCAAGGACAATAATCCCCTAAAATAATATATTCACAAAGCAAATACGGTCTTAATCTCCTCGGTACTCTTAATTGAATCATAAATTCCCAATGTACGGTTGATAGATATTATATGGTTAGTGTGTAAGGAGTAGATTAGTACTTGTTTATTGTCAAATTTGAGCAGCAATAAAAAAAATAAAAATTATCCCTAATTTTATAAATTGTAATAATGCTTCAAACTTCAAATCAATTTATCCTTGATTGCCTAAGAGAATTCCCCACAAGTGACATAGAATCAAATAAGCAAAATGGTTTAATATATAATAGGAATAGGATCTAATATAGTTTTTTTTGCTCTAGTAATAGCATGTAATGATTTTTTTTACTCTAGTAATAACATAAAAACAATTAAGACTTTCTCTTTCTACAATTATTTTTCCTCACAGCTCGCAGTCTCACAGAGTCACAAGCTCACAAGGAGAGGGAGGGTTGAAACTAAAAGGGTTTCTTAGCTTATTCGATTGATTTTTCCCTCTTTCTCTTTGGTTTGCTAATTGCTTTCTTAGGTTAGAATAGGATGTGAATGGGGCCACCATAGATCTATATCCCCACCAATAACATTCAGAAGCATAATAAGTATTACACACACACACACATGGTTAAAATAGGATGTGAATGGGGCCACCATACATCTATATCCCCACCAATAACATTATTTCTAGAAGCATAATATGTATAATAAGTATTACACACACACACACACACACATATATATATACATGGGTCGTATCTTATTCGAAATACTCAACGGCTCGGCTCGTGGCTCGAGCTGTTGTGTATTTGAGTTCGACTCGAATAAGATACGACCCATGTATAGAGCTCAAATTCAGCTTGAAGCTCGACTTAGTCTGAGTCGAGCTCGAATAGCTCGTGAAAAGTTCAACTCGTTTCCACCTCTAGCCTCAACCCTATGCTTGGGCTAAGTGGTCGTAATGGGATTGGATGCAAATTGTGTATTTATATATATTATTGGGCTTTTGGAAAAGTGTCCTACAAGGCACTTAAATCATATACCTTAAGGCTTATATAATGGATTGGCAAAGATATTTATAGCCTTGTAGGACATATTGGACATGAGTAATCCTCAAAGTCGTGTAACAACAAAATTGGGTGGTAGCCCTTTGACACCTCTATGTGTATTTATTGTCTTCACTCCTCTATGTATTGATTGATCAAGTATAGTAGTTTGATGCCATCACATAATCGTTTGCAATAAGAAAAAATAATCCCATGATAGTTGGTACCAAAGCACAAATTGGCTCTTGTGTCACCTACAGCGAAAACTCCGATGGATCAAGTAGCATGCACATGCATGGGTTTGACCCTATGCTTAGGCCAAGTAGCCATAGTGGAACCGAATGTGGATTATATATCCTATACAAGACTATTGTCAGGCACTTTGATAAGTGTCCAATGAGGCACTTTGAACTTGTACACTAAGGCTTATATAATGGTTTTGCCAAGATGTTTGCATGACATATTGGGCACAAGTTATCCCCTAAGTTGTGCGACAACAAAATTGGGCAATAACCATTTCAACAACTTATCTTTGTGTTTATTCTCTTCAGTCTTCTATGTATTAGACGACCAAGTAAGGTGGTTTGATTCCATCATGTGGAGAAGACCATACAAGTTGACATTGTTAAATAGTATGAAGCATCAATAGTGTGTATGAAGGCATTACTAAGGAGTTGACATTTTTGTGTAAGGTGTTGGATGGTTTAGAAACCAGATTTCACATGGCCGAACTAGATTTGGTGAATTTCCTAATTTGACTTGGGAACCGATTTCCTAGTGATTTTGAAATTTGAAATTTCAATCTCGTTTTTGCACTAAATCACACCAGGTTTGAAACCCAAATCAAAACTGATTATACCTAATACGGAGACCACAGCGTGAAACTCTCAGAATTGTAGTGCACACCCAATATCAATCCCAAAATCGACCTCCAACTAAAGATGGTGTGGTGTGTATACGAAATTGATTCAATAACATTGCTTTAGCAAAACTTATTTCCAACTTGCTTTGATCAAAGTGGGTATGTGAACCTGATGTCCTTTGATATTTTTCTTGCAAAAAACATAGTAGATAACTAAGGAAATCATCAGCTATCGCAATTGGGTCGAAGTAGGGTTTATAGGATGCAAGGAAAAAAAGAAGAGAGCAAGAGATTTGAGAGAACTAGGGTAAATCTTCCCTTCCGTCTTAGTCCCTTATATAGAGCAATATACTAATTTAATTAGAAGTTGATCCAAATCAAATTTGGATTACGATTTTGTCTTTAATTGATAAGCATTATTTTCTTGAGATAATAGGTGCTCCATATTAGATTTATACTCATTTTCAACCCAAATCAAGTTATCATTAACTAATCATATTAGTAATTGGTAGGCCCATTTTCTTTAATGATTCATGTCCAAATGTGTTGCATACCACTTTGGGCCCAAAATATTATATGGTGTGAGACCCACAAATGTTTCACACAAGTCCATAACCTACATAATCATTAAAACATTGAATAGTCTAAATTCAATGTTTCTTTTAAACATAAACGTGCTTAAAATCTAACCTCATAAGTTTAAGCAACACATTAGTGGTCTTAGTCACTAGCATGTATCTTGCTAATTATTGAATAGTCTCCAATGATTATGAGCTACCAAACACGAGCTTCCAAATGTACAGGTTAATTTTCCCCCGTATATAAAAATTTGTGGGGCATTCCGAGAATTGAACTCGGGACCTCTCGCACCCTAAGCGAGAATCATACCACTAGACCAAATGCCCTTTGTTGCTTATCTTTCAATCTGGTTTTATAAAATCGCGTAACTTTGTTATATGGCACTTGACAAATAAGTGGGTGCTATGGTTGGGCCTGGATGGGCTTAACCTCGGGTTGGACCAGGCCTGAGCCCGAAGTTTTAACCTTTAGTGTGGTTGCAGTTCGGCAGGACCGATCCCGCGTCTCCTCATTCGGAATAATGCCAGGTAGCCATCTCAACTACCATGTCACCGGCACGATCCAGCCTCGTGGGTTTAAGACAAATTCTCAAAAACCCGGATCTGAAAAGCCTCTATCAATCGTTTCGTCGTGGTGGAAGTGGAACAGCGGAAGAATTGCAGATTGAAGAAGGAATAAAAAATCAAGGAGAGGTTGAATGTAATGCCTCTGTGTTTGTTTATCTTCTACCATTTTCTTCTAGTTTTCTTGATTATAATTATGGACTCCATTTGCATCAGATCAGATTAGACTAGGCTAGATTAGATTGTGGTGTAAAAAAAATTTTATTTTTTATTTTTTCCATGATTTTGACAACAGTGGGAATTTCTTGAAATTTCCCTTGTTGACCTATAACCAGGAGGCGGAATGTATTGCTAACCTCGATTCTTCAACCATATCTATTGAATTTAATATTTTGGCGATCGTGGGTGCTCCATTACCTTCCTTTTATTCGGGTTCTAGTACATATTTTGGGTCCTCATGCTTTCTTCTTTGTTCATGCAGCCTGAGATTCATGGCAGGGCCGGGGAGCTCCATGCTGTACTCGTTTCTTCTATTTGCTGTCATCCTCTCGCTTCAGGAGATGTATAGAGGGAAATTAGCATCTTCAGAGTTATTTACCATACTCGGAGGCTTCATCAGCTCTCTAATATTCGTTGTATTGCTAACAGTGAGTTTTTAATTGATCCAGTGGTTTTTTACGTAGGTATCTTACTAATATTTCATATATGTTTTTTCTTTGTCTTGTGAACTCTTGTAATAAATTTTTTTTTTCATAGTGTTCTGTTTCATTTTCCATATATGCAACCCCATATTTTTCTCCTGTTTTTGTTTCCATGTGCAAATGTCCTTGTAGAGAGCTAAATTCTTTGAACTAGGGTTGGTTAGAGGTGCGACTCGTTGGAACTATATCATATTTCACATTTTCACTAATCTATATCATTTGTTTGTTTTTTCTTTGTGTTTATCTGTATGTATGCTTCTATAATATCAGCCATACCAAGGTTTTAAGTTTTAACTTTCATTGAGCGATCTTTTAAAGTTAAAGATTTCCTATCGGTTCAGATTGCCACCAATAGGAAATATAGATAGAATTTGTTGGTATTATTTTCATCATCAAGCACATGTCAGATAAGGCATCTGATATCTGACTCAGCACTAGTGAACTGTAGTAAGCATTGTCATAAAGCATATGTTCTCCTGAAGCAATTTACACATTGGCAGTTTGGCACCGAGTACGAACACGTGGTTAGGAGGTTGGAGGGATGCATCCTAATGGCAGCTTTGTTAAAGGGAGTGCATCAAATCATTTTATTAGTAATATATAATATCTTGATGAATTTTAGTTTAATTTGCTAATGCTATTCCAATCTCAATCAGATTCCAATATAAATCCGATGGATAACATTCAATTCAAATCAAAATATTAATGAATCAAACTTGACTCTTTGATTATCTGATTAAACCCGACCCATTTGCAGCCCTAGACACAATTGCCTGATAAGGCAAATATGTATGTCCAGGAAACACAGGAAACAGAGTACACCGTTGGGGAACCATCTTCACAAAAAGTGAGGTGGCAACTGGAAAGACAGTTTTGGCTCAAACCTATTTGTATCTTAATGATATAAGAAATCACCATGAGAAAACAGGCCAGAACCACCATGGGAATCTTTTTTGTTTTTAAATGGTGGCAATGCTGACAATCAGGCTGTGATGCAACTGGTAAAAACAGGATAATGCACCATTGGCATGGAACCCACCAAGGACGCAATATCTAAAAATAGGAAGACTATGTGAAGAAAGGATCATCAAAAGTTCTGAAGAGATCATCAGAGTACTCTCAACCAACCCATACAATCCATTGGGATTGTCATTCTCTTCTCTTCAGATTCAGCTAGAGAATCCCTGTCAAACCTTCCCCAGCCTATTATCTTGTTTTTGGCAAATCTCTTGTAATACACTTTTGTCAATTCTCAGACTATAGCCTCACATTATTCCGTGTAGTGATCCTAGTCTGGTAAGAGCATTACCGCAAACTCAAAGCTACCCCTATGACATCAGTTCCAAATACTGAAAGAACCAATATTTTGTCCCTATCATGCCCAAACCACCATATTTGCCCCAGTAATGTAGGGTATTTCTTGAAATCAAGCTTGCAACAAGCGATCTTCAGCAACTGTCCAAAATTGTTTTCTCTGATCCATCTTGTATGTCACGCGTATCTTGCCCAGATCTATAATCACTGGAATTGGAGTACTATGTACATCACCACCTAAGGACATAACCTACATGGATGCACATACCAGAAATCCCTACCAACAAAATTCAACAATATACTGTTTTAAATGAAATAGAAAAGGTCAAAATTGATCTAAACAAGGAAAATAGGAATAGATATGCATGAGGAAAGAAGTATGAATGCAAAGAGGGAGAATAGGAGAAACAGAGATTTTTAAGAACCAATGAATTTCTCCTCATGTTTCATACGGATTATCGAAATTCCAACTTAATTTTAAAAATTATAAAAAAAGAAAACTTTAGCTGTAGTTAGTAGTTACCCCCCCCCCCCCCCATTTTACTCAAATGAAAGAGTCCTTTTACTGTCTCTTATTGAATCCCAATTGATTACCTTTTTCCTCTGCAAACTTTAACAGTCAGCCAGACCTTGAGTCACCAAATATTTGCTAGTTGTCATGTCAGCCTCTAATCTCTTAGCTTCCATTCAACTGATTAATTTTAAGTTCATAAGTTGTTAATTTCTGACAACTTTTTTTTTTTTTGATCAATCCCATAAATGGTAGTCTTCTCTAATTTGAAAAAATGGCTACTTTTTCCTCTTCATTGTTCCTAGTCCTATACCCTTGGATTTTTTTATAGGTTATCTACTTCAACCTATTAATATTGCAACAGACTAAGGGGGTTCATGGTTGATTGTTGTGGATCCCCTAGGAAGTCAGTTTCTGACTAGTCAAGAGTTAGCTCTGTATATGTATTGGTTGTCATATGGACCTTCCCCATACACTACTTTTCAGGTATTTTTGAATTGATTGATATTTCCATCTAAGGTGGAAAACTTGGAAAATTGTCTCATCATATATTTCATTTTCATTATATAGGGTTGGGAGGAGAAAACTTGTCATATTGTTTTAGAATTATTTGTTGGTAGAGTAGCTCATAGGGTTTTGACAATAGATGATTTTATAGACTCTTCAATAGATTCATGGTCAAGAAAAGGAAGCTGCTATTGAAGTGACCTGAGGTAGGTCAATAATCAAGTTAGGTTCCACCCCATTATAGGAAGTAGTCAAACTTAGCTTTGATGCATGTTCTCCTTCAATTTTAAGGTTATCGAGGTAAGGCTATTAATGCAGGTGCCAGATGTCTGATATGGAGCTTTATGAAATTTATGTATTTTTTAAATTTTAGACGGCAGGGTTATTCTGGTCATTTCACTGTTTATTGATGGGATTTGGCCTTATAGTTTTAATTTATTTTATTTAAATCTATTCAGGTTTAGGTTGTGTTAAAATTTCAATCATTGGTTAAGTAGTTTAGGAGCTATTGGGTTTTCTTGAGTCGAAGTACAATAATTCTGCAATCAGCCATTACAGCCATCAATGGCTCATAAAACCAAAATCCAAGAACTCTAAAATATTGAAATTGATCCAAGTACATTCTTCTTGTGTTTACATCATAGCCCAAAGTTTTCCTGTTTCAATTGTTTTGGCCTTTTGTTCTGAACCATCTCTGAACATTTTTGTATTTGGTTGTACTCATAAATTCATATAATCTTTCGTCCTACTAAATATAACCTCAAACCACCACCTAGACCCCCAATTTTTGGAATTTTAATAGTTCTTCACAAAGGGATTTCTTTTTGCATTTTAATGGAAAAACTGCTTAGAGTGCCTCCGAATTGTATTGTCTCATACAATCCGTCATCGTAAACGTCTATACAAAGTTTCATAAAGAAGTTCCATCCCTCTACTCCTTTAACTGTGTCTGCTTTCTGGAAACACTTCTTTTCATTGTTTGGTTGCAGGTGATCTCCTCCACTGGAGTTGATGAGGCTATTTGATGCTACTTTCTTCTCTCTTGCTAGAAAGAGTGAAAAAATCCTTTGGAGATGTACAAGGGCAGAGTCTTTTGGTGTGTTTGGGAGGAAGGAATTCACAGTTATTCAGGTTCAAGGATAGGGAGGGAGGAATTAAGCAAATTGTTGACAATATCATTATCAAGGTAGCACTCTGGGTTAAAACTCTGGAACTATTTGTCCCCTTCTCCCTTGATGCTATCAGCAGAAAACAGTGGCTGATTCCTCTATGGGTAAGCTGCAAGTAGCTGAGCTATGGTGCCCTCCACCAACTTCTTTCTTCAAGTTAAACTTTGATGGTTGCAGTCTAGGGAACCCGGGGATTTCAGGGATTGGAGGAGTGTTCAGAAACAATGAAGGGAATATAATTGCTATATATTCAGATCTGTTTGGGATGGGAGACCCAACAAGGGCAGAACTTACTTCTGCCCTGATAATCTGATAGGCCTAAGAAGAGCAAAGTCACTGAACTGAACAGATATCATTATTGAATGGGACTCAAGGTGTAAAGATGGCTGGAGAGTAACTTGTATGTGGAGCCACAAGCATATGATGAGTGAAATCAGAAACCTGATGGAGTAGATGAGGGTCAACGTCAACTGGGTATCTTGGGCTGCTAACAATCAGTAGACGAGTTTGCAAAACAGGGTGCTACAAGAAACAATATGTAATGGGGCTTGATAAACCAGGGGGAATTGTAATTTCAATAGCAGGGGTGGCTAGCTACCTATCTAAGCATATAATGTATATAACCATGTCTCTTATTATTAATAAAATATCTTTGACAGTTACTGATCCCCACACCCCCAGAAAAATCCATCCTTATACTTAGTATTTTTATTTTCTATTTTTTCACAGGCTCACAGCCCTGAAGATGATTTACAGTTGCAGTGGTTTAACTTAGAACCTTTTTTTTGATGAATTTAACTTAGTTGATTTATAGCCTCAAGGATGATTCACAGCCCCAAGGGTGAATTCCACAGTCCTATTAATGTTTTCCTTTAGTACTAAAATTATCAATAAACACCTCTTGGCCCGTATTTACCCTCAGTCTCATTTTTGGTTCTTAGTTTCTCCACATCAATTTGGTTTTGAAGCATTTGGTAATGGTCTTACATCGTTTGGTCCCATTAGGCATGGGTAGTCTACTTATTGCTAAGATTTTTCCCAATCTTTTTTTTCTTTGATCAGTAAGATTATATTTTATTAAAGGCAAACTGTAATGTTACATCAAGGTGGGATTATTTCCACCCTGAACAAACAAAAGATTACAACTTTGCCCAAAACATTTGCTGTCTTAAAGCCCCCTGCTTGGCTAGGGTGTCTGCCATCCCATTTGCTGCTCTTCTCACCCATTTAAAAGTCACTGTTAGTTCCCTTATTATGCTTTCAATTTCCTGAAGGGTATGTCCATAGATCCATGGGATTTGGTTACTTCATTTTGTCCAATAAATGACCACTTGGGAACCCACTTCTACCTCTAATTAATGAAATCCAAATTGCTTAGCAAATTTTAAACCATGGAATAGTCCAAATAGTTCTGTTTTCAAAGCATCACCATGCTCTAAAGGTCC